AAAGGGAAAATAACTGGGAAAATTGATGGCGTACTTTGTATTGATAAGTAAGTGTGGTAAATTATGAATCCATTAGTATAGATAGAACTGAAGATATATCCAACTTGCCGTTTAGGTTAACCAATTATTCATTTTCTATATACTGAAAAGGGCAGTAACTTGGTTAAAATGAAAGCCATATTTATGTAACTTGCCCATATCATGTACTTTGTGTTGATTAGTTAGGGTGTAAAGTATGAAGCCATTGGTATATAGATAGAACTTGAGAAAAACCTAACTTGCCGTTTTAGGTTAACCTCGTACGGACAGATGGATGACGGGCGGATGGTTCAATTGCTAGATGCCCGTGACATAAAAACAATAGTCAGCGGTAAAAAAACAAAACAAGCAAAGCCGTTGAATTTGTATCTCTCGCCGAGTACTGGTCATTACTAAAACAACAACTGGAGACATAGGCTTTATTTATATATTGATCATAACATAAACAGTAATATTCTTTGTACGTGATAAAAAATTTAGCCATAACTCCGAGTTAAATAGTATTAACTGGACATGCAAATGAGATGCAAATTGCCTTTTTGAACAAGGGGAGGGTATGCACATTTCCTCTTAGTATTGATAGTTCCCATAAAGTTTCATTGGATTTCTAGACAGTAGTTGCAGAGAAGTAGCGTAGAACACTCATTCTCACTTAAGTACGACATTTCATAAATTCTAGAACTGAAAAATGAACTTTCTTGTATATTAAAATTTTATTCCATTCCAAAATTATAAGTATCTCGACATCTTAAATATAAAATATTACCAGTACAGATGTCCTAGATTTTTCCCTATGACAGGTTTTCTAGATAGAACCAGAAAATAAATTTCGTCATTTTCGGGACACTGGTCCTTAAATTTGTGCATATGGTATGGCGATTTTATTTTGTCTCTTTAAATAAATTTTCTATCATCTATTTATATGAACATCTGGAAATGAGAATCAATCATTGAACTGACAAAAATACATCTTTATAAAAACAACTCATGGAAATGCATTTTATATCGAATATGCTTAAATCTCATTTTCAAAATGAATAACCTTACAAAATCCACAGATCCATACAATGGACGAGTAAGAAAATGTGAAAATTACTGACGAATTCTTGGAAGTACCTACTTATTTATTATTCAATTGTCTAATGTGAAATAATTTACGTCATCTCATACATTGACAATTTATTAGGGACTCGTAAATGATTTTTTAATTGTCCCGTAAGTGACCCAGTCTCCAGATGCTATGGATTGACAGAAAGAACTGTAAATACTTTGAATTATATATTTATAATGATTGAAGATTAACTTATATTTATTTATGAAATGGAGCAGATATTCCTTTGGCAAGGTTGGGCTTTATTATCAATATTTAAACAATTGAACTGAAAATAGTAAAAAAATGAGTAAAAGATCGTATAAATGGTCTTAGAAGTTCAACAAAATTGCTAGATTTGCATAAAATCCAAGTTAGTGTAAACGAAAACAATAGTACGAATCAAAACAAACATTTTTTCTCATAGAAATATCACTTTCATTGAGAAAATCACTGTTTTATAATTTTCTTTCGCTCTGGTCATTTACGGGACAAGTCAATCTTATTACTATTATCTTATAATTGAACTGCAAAACAATGTACAGTATGTTTGTTTAAACAGATATTAAGTATCTAGATAAACTAAAATATTTTATATCAAGATGCATGAAAAGTCATTGTCCATTTAAATGAAACATCTATGAAAATGTTATAAAGTTTTCAGAATGTGTTTAATTAAGGACAAATACTAGTTAGTTCTCACTATATCTGCTCCAAAGAACCTTCTATCTTACAGTTAATACAAGATACTCCAATATTATTGCGTTTTCATTGATAAGCGTGGACTCAAAATTTCCTATTACTCGAATGAATATTCAAAAATTAATTTTACCATTTACGGGACAGTTCAGCCAGATACGGGACACGCCTGTTTTCATGTTTACTTCATTTTTGTGATTGAAGTATAAGTTTGAATGTATTCGTATATGAAAGTAAGTATCCATTGAACTCTATTATAGTCAAAACGTCTGAATACCAATTACAATATCAAAATTATGATTTTTAGAAGCTATCTGCAAGTGAAAAACACATTTCAGATGCGTATGTTTAAAAAACATGGATACTTCTTTGTTTTCGTGGAAGAATACTATTCCAACAATACCAACGTCCATTAACAAGTTGAAATAATTCAACAAATCTAGCAGAATAAATCACAAGAGAATGTGAAAGAGGGTGAGTCCCGTAAATGATAGGCTCGTAAATGTTGAAAATTTCTGTTTGACAAGGGAATTTTATGAGAAATTGTGGAATGGTTTACATGAATGACAGAATATAAGCAAGACAAATATCCGCTCTAGATATCTGAAGTATTATAACATTGAAATAATTGAAAATATATTGCAAAACGCATGGTATTGATGAGCCTCGTAAATGATTTTCTAAAAATTACGCTTGTAAAATCCAAATTAACGTGAAATCCTTAACAAAATGGTTACACAGATACTCTTAATCTTCATATTTTATGTAAACTATATTACTGTAGACTTAATATTGCTATTGAAATAACCATTTATAAGTTACCATGTATAATTAACATTGTTTTGCAATTAAGACTCGTAAATGATTTCGACTTTGAAGACAAGCAATTCAAATTTGATTTTGAGAAAATTAATTTTCGTAATATCAAAAACAGTTTTATATGTCAAAATCTGCAATAGAATAACGAAAATAAGCTGTAGTTACTGTTAACCACGACTTTTTTGTACGAAGATACGTGCAATGAAACATACTTCGATTTAGTTGAAGACATGCTGTTTTTCGTACCCCTTCCTTACAAAAGCGATTGTCACTAGCAAAATCAAACAAATAGGCTAGTAAACTTGCGCTCAAATTAAATCTTTGATGCAGTACTAATTGTTAAAACATTTTACAAGAATGTTCGGGCTTATATATCTCCACAAATTTTCATAGAACATTGAAGACATGGAATGTCGTACTTAAGTGAGAATGAGTGAGAAACGATTATTGCTCTATATGCATACTACATAGCCAATGAAGGGCTATAACACTGTGATGAAGGGTCTTACCGGAGCAAGGCGATGATATGCTCATCTGATATTGGTATTGAAGGTTCCAATAAAGTTTCATTGAATTCCTACCAGTAGTTGCAGAGAAATAGCACGGAAACGATTATTGATCTAATAATACATGTCTTAAACAACTGTTGAAAATGTAGAATTATCAATATATTCATAATTTATTTTTAAAAACGCATTATTTTAGTTTTACCTGCGCCTCGCTCTGGGTAAGACCCCGCCCTGCGGAGACTGCTAGAAGCTTAAATAATGTCTTAAAGCCGCAACGTTCGTATTTATCCTGAAGTGAGGGGCAGACAAAATGTAAAAAAGAAATCAGCTATCCTATGGCCTTCCCCGGCAACAGGGATATAGTTACAATTAAACTTGCGCATCAACCAAATAACTTACGGCTGATGATACTGGAGGACAATGATATGTTGTCGTCTGCTGGCCACACTGTTACTGTGGTTGTGTTGCTAGGCAACTCATGCCTCAGAGTGTCGGCTGCCTTGTCTATGATCCATGTCACGTATTCTTCAACTAAAAAATGTTTATTTAATGTTATTATGGCATAGTGTCACATAACGAGAAGTATTTGTTGTTGTCGTCTTACATATCTAAATGTTCAATTTAATTTTGAATGTGAATTCGGTTTTAAAGTACACGCACATTCAATATTTTACAATATGTCTCGCTATTGTAAACACTATACAACTAATTAAATTTAATTGGGTCATTGCAGATGTAGCAACGCCACTGTGTGTTACATTTGGTGGGTTACAGATATTTCCAGATACTCACAAAAAAGGATTTACAAACATATGGTGGCATATTTCTGCCACCAGATAACATACCTAACCAGTTAATTAAGAGGTTAACTAGTTACGTAACTAGTTAACCTGATACCTAACTAGTTAATTAAGAGGTTAACTAGTTACGTAACTAGTTAATCTGATACCTAACTAGTTAATTAAGAGGTTAACTAGTTACGTAACTAGTTAACCTGATACCTAACTAGTTAATTAAGAGGTTAACTAGTTACGTAACTAGTTAACCTCTTAATTACCTAGTTAGTTATATGGTTATATGGTGGCAGAAGTATGCCACCATACAAACATCTGACCAAATTTTGAAAGATATTTTTTGAAACTTTATATTTACCGAGTTTGTCGCCTGTTGTAGTTTCTGTCACTGTTGCAATTTCATTATCAACAACATCGTCTGAAAAAGGAGAGTTTTCAGGTTGTTATGTTTTATTTAAAGTCATTTTTGTTATATTTTATTATTATATGAATATTTAACAAAATCAAAACGACGGAGAGAGAGATACAAAAATGTTGTTTTTTTTTTTGTTTTTTGCTTGTTGTTATTTTTTACGGGAATGGAAATGATAAAAAAAATATGAATAAACAACTACATGCTAATATTAGATATTAGATTTTATTAGGATTTTGGTTAGTGAAAATTTAAATGACAGATAGCCAGCCTATCTGTTCTTTCATTTTTGGACAATAAAACTGTAAATGAATTCTTTTATAAAACAATGTATGAATTAATATATAAACAACTATACCATTCTTAGATGACAGATTTTGAGGAACTACTTTATTTGACTTGCTGGCAATCTTACAGACAACCATGTCGGCATTTCCTGTTTCATTTAACAGGGTTTCTGGGTCAAGAGTCTTGCCTCTTCTTGCATAGTATCTTTGGCGCATGCGGTTTCGAAATCTTGCAAACTGTAAAAGAGACAATGTCCTTTATAGACAGTTTTGACCTGCATTCAAATTTCAGAAGCCACTTATTTTATTGCCTTTTTTTTTTTTTTTTTTTTTTTGGAAATTTTAATGACACTGCTTATGTATGAAACTTCAATTCCCAATAATATCTGATCTTTTTATCATTAAATAATAATAATGTTAATAATAATAATAATAATAATAGTAAAAATAATATAATAATAATAATAATAATAATATAATTATTATTATTATTATTATTATTATTATTTATTATTATTGTTATTATTATTATTATTATTATTAACATTATTATTAACATTATTAGTATTATTATTACTATTATTATTTTTTTTATTATTATTATTATTATTATTATTATTATTATTATTATTATTATTATTATTATTATTATTATATGTTTATTTATTTATTTATTTATTTATTTACTTATATTTATTTATTTATTTATTTATTTACGATTTTAATTATTAATAGAGGATATTGAATGAGTGTAGTTTCATATTAAAATTTATTGAACGAGTTGAATAAAATCATATTATGAGAGCCCCTGGTGTAATATCGTTTTTATTAAATAGAGAATAATAGGTTGGTGCCGTGGATGGAGAAAGTTTATCTGGCGAGGCGGAGGAATTTATTGGGTGAGCCGAAGGCGAACCCAATAAATTCCGGAGCAGAGCCAGAAAAACTTTCTCCATCCACGGCACCAATCTATTATTCTATTTATCCTGTCACCGTTTTTTTTTAAAGAACTTTATTAGGCAAACTTCCTTTAATCACACTATCGGAAATGTTTCTATATAAACAAAGAAGGCCCGAAGCGTGCATTATTCTACAACAATGCACTCGCCGTTCTTATTATCTCCCTGCATGTGTATTTTCACATTGAGGGCGCCATTTTGTTTGAAAAACGTGATAAATAAAAACAATTTTTTGTCGAATTTTGTTGTGAAAACTATCTAGACTGAAAGAAAATGGTCTAACTAAGAAAATGAATTCGACCACCAATATCTTTTATTCAGTCGTTAACGCTGTACAGACGTTTAAAGTATTGTTTACGTGACGTCACAATGTAGCGCCAAACAGCACGTGCAAAACAATCAAATCAAGTACGCTATTTTAATGTTGCAAACGAGTTAAGTTTTACATTTATTTCACTTTTAAACGGCCTGTAAAGAACGTTTCTATTGGAAACTCTGAGGCGAAAACAAATTTAACCACCAAACATAAAGTCCAACATTATAATAATAATTATATGTTTTCTTGAAAAGTAGTCCGGCAAACATGCATACCACGTGATCAAGTGCCGTAGATCAGTAAAAATATACGGCACCTTGTTATCGGGCCGAAATTGATACAAGTGACAGGATAAATGGCTTTATTACACTCGTGCGCCGCAGTGTATGTGATAATTTTTTTTTATTATCTAATCTTCATCATCAACATTATCACCATCAATAAATTCCCTACAGAAAATTATGCTGTCATTTTAAATGATCCTCAGTTGATTGATTATCTAGACTTAGTTTAGTTTAATAATATTTTAATGCTCTTTGAATACAATTTTAGAACATTATTTCCACAAAACAACATTTTTAACAAAGGGCAAAAGGGTTGAACAACAAGTTCTAGCAACATTAGTAACTGTCCTTCCCTTAAGCATTATAAGATATTGAAACGAAAACATGTTTAAACACTATACACATGAGCAATTACAAATGAGCCGTGTCACGACAAAACCAACATAATGGGTTTGCGACCAGCATGGATCCAGACCAGCCTGCGCATCCGCGCAGTCTGATCAGGATCAATGCTGTCCGCTTACAAACCCTATTACAAGTAGAGAAACTGATAGCGCGGATGCGCAGGCTGGTCTGGATCCATGCTGGTCGCAAACGCACTATGTTGGTTTTGTCGTGACGCGGCTTAAATATTAAGACGGCTTCAAAAACAAAGTAGCAAATAGAATTCGACATTAAATTTAAAGAAGAAAAAAACATTTGCTAATCAATTCTTTAAATATTAGAAATAATAGTAATTTTCCTGCACTTGCAGTATGTGATGGTTTGTATGGCTGTCAAAATATGTCATTTATAAGGGGAATAAGATGAATTAAAATTGGAACAACGATTGTTATTTTTACATGTACTTATTTGTTATTATTTAAATCTATGTGTATTTTTTTATATTTTTGAACCTCATGAAATAAAAAAGAGTTTTCCTCGTCTGATAAATTTTCTTTTCCATAAAGGAGAGTACTTGTACTTAATGGATGAAAAGGGCGAGAGGAAGTGAAAAGTTGGAGTCTTTGAACACCAAAAAGTTTACAGTTAAAAAAGAAATGTTCAGCATCCTCCTCGATATGGCAAAACTCACAAACAGGGGAGTTTGCTAAGTGATTTCTATACAGATCATCATTCAAATTACTACATCTATTTTTTAAACGTGCATGGAAACAAATGTTAATCTTTCTCCAATTAAATAATATTTAGGGACAAGTAAGGGTTTGAATTCATCCTTAAGTTTAGTTTTGAACACATTTAAAGAAGGCGAGTCACGTATATCATTATCAAGACTATTCCATGCCGAAAATGCTGAGGGTATAAATGATCTAGAAAATATTTCTGTTCGTCGTACTATTGTTACGTTATTATCGTTATTTCTAAGGTTATATTGCCTACTTTCTGATACAAAATTTGGGAACAAAGTGTCCAGATAACTTGGAAGCTCCCCATTTTTAGCTTTATACATTATTGATAATTTTTGCATTAAACGGCGATCTGCTAAAGAGTAGCAGAAACCCAACCTATTTCGTGCAAAAGTCTTTCTATAGACACAGAGCGAGTCAAACCAGTTACTAAGCGCGCAGATTCGTATTGCATTTTTTTCAATTTTTTTCTTTTTCATATAAGGTACAATTATCCCAAATAGCACTAGCATATTCTAATAAATGCCTCATGTAGGAAATATAAATTTGATCTAGGCTGAATGTTGAAAATTCTATTTATTCTACTCACCCTTTCATTGCAAGTTTTCTTAAAACTTATGAGCCAAACGAAACAGCCTCGGTTTTCACTAGCCATTAATATTTATTCCATGATTAAATGGTCTAAAAAACAGCTTGTGTAATGTTTCGGTCAATTTGACGTTGCTAATGTGTAACGTCAATTTCTTCTGTGTGACGTCACAATACTGCGTGTTTTAAATAAGCCTACCGTTAAATCAAAACATCACCGAATACTAGTTAGCAACTGGATAATCTGGTTCCTATTATGGTTCCCTTCAACGATGTTCTTTTAGAAGCACACAGGGGACCAGTCTAGCGACAGGAGACTCAATGGCAACTTTGCGGCCCTTTCCGTCACTCTTCGGGTATGAACCTCGAAATACACTGAACGGTCTAACCCACGCTTAGAAACTAAACATGTAAACAAATAGTAATTTAATGCTACCAGTTGAAGACTATATTAGTACCAATGTATCGAGTGAAAGTCCACTTAAACAAAGTAAATTCACAGCTATAACAGTAAATAGTACATTATTTATATACTTATTTTGTTTACATCTAAAACCACATGGTAGAACAACTTACTCCGAGGTTATCATTGACTTCGTTGAATTTATATCCACCGCCATGTACACAACAAGTGGAGACATAAGGCTTTATTTATATATTTATCATGGCATGAAAACTTCCTTTATGCTTTTTTCAATTATGTTTTTACTATGTACAGATTTTTTTTCAGCTATTGTACATATACACATTTTCAACGTTTTAAACATTACATATTTGAAAACAACAACAAAATGTTAGCTTTAGTAATTATCTTGCCACCTCTTATTTTTACTTAAAACATCAAATTTTATCTTTTATCTATCCTCTTTTGTAGCTTTTAATACGTACGGGTTTAAGTGTAAGATTAGATTTAAATGGAAAAAGGAATCATGTAGGAATTAAAAATGATTAATGACAAAGACAGAAAACTTTAAATATTTAAATAGATAATTGAGAGGAAAAATCCACAAGAAGTGGACATTTCTTTCCTGCTCAGTGCACATAATGAAGGATTAATTACAGAATAAGATCTTCAATGCGAGAAAAAAAAAAAAAAAAAATCACCAGAGAAAACTCAATATCATATTAACCTATATTTGAAGTCAAATTTGATTCTATATGGATTGATAAAAATTGCAGAAAAAACTTTTCCAAGAATTGCATTTGGCAGAGACATTAAGTATGTATTTGCTCAGGAATGTCAAATGCATGTACTTTTATACTTAAAAATTATTCGCATTGATTGTTAAAAGCAGACAATTGTCAGAACAGGAACTGTAAAGGTTGCCAAATACGGCAAAAGTGAGTGTTACAGGCTCCGTTTTATTGACCCCGTAAACGGGAAC